AAAATATATTTTAGTGTATTTTTTGCCATTCAAATCAGAATTTGTACCAGAGAGCTAAATATTCTGTACAAGTGATAAATACCTTGTCCTTAAAACTCAAGCCATAGTAATTGTTGCCATTAGCCAGGTGAACCTGGTATCATCTTCATTCATTATATAGTCTATCATGTTCTCAGAAAGGACACAAGGAAAATTTAGCAAAGATGTATAGTTTATCATGTTTATAGCCAGGAGGCCAGGAAAATTTATGCAGGGAAAATTTGTCAAGGAGAATTTAGTGTTAGAGTTATAAACACGGTATTTCCTAACATGTTCTTAAATGGATTACTGTAAAGAATGTAGTGAGTTTAGGTCATAGCTATGGTATATAGAAGCAAGAATGATTCATATGCTTTTAAAACAATATTCAAATCAATGAGTTACTGTTTTTCTTCAACAACTGCTTATGCATGTGGTGATATGAGCCTAAGACAGGTGCTGATGCCTCAGTCACTTGGCCACACAGTTCTGTGGTTTATGAGTCATGGGAATTGCTTGTCTTACTCTGACTACTACAATTCTGTCCTATTGTCTTTTCATGTAATAGAAACAGGGCTCTGATGACAAAGCCCAACTAATTACACAACTTAATTTAATAGTTTAAAGCGCAAAGGCATTCCCTAAGCAGTAAAATCTTTTGTTCGGAAATTTTAAAACAAATTATATTTCACTTTATGTTTTACTATTTACGTAGTAAGTATTTACAAGAACACAATTTTCTCAAGATTTAAACTGCTCATTGTTCCATAAATAGGACACACATTTAGAAAGAGGATCTTTTTTAAAAGGAATATTTTAGTGATTACTTCTGGCTAAAAACATAAAACTCTTTTAGTACTTGATGTTACCGGAATCTTGCTCTAGATTATTTTTTGAATCTTTTCTGTAAGGTTAATAATAGAAATGTTTTCACTTCCAATTGTTGCTTTGAATTAAGAATTTATGTCTGGGTGAAATTTTCCTCTGTCTCAACACATGACCAGACTGAGAGAAACGTATCACCTAAATCATCTTATTTTTGTTAAAACATTCATAATCCCACACCCTAATTAATAGTTAGAAGTGCTTGTGATAAGTGTTAGTCCCACTTCTGTCCCCTTTTATGAATTCCCCTGAAAACAGCCTTGCTTAAGATTATCACCTAATTTTGTTTGACTTCTTCCAGTGATAGAGAAGTTTCTGTTCAATTTAGGCCTCTTGGGTCATGTTACCAACTGTTTTTACCCTAATACAGACTCCTACCTATCAAAGGGTTTTGTAGTTTGGACCAAGGAGCGAGAAGGCTTTACCTTAAAAGGTCAAGAATGTAAATTGCCCAAGGTGAACTCTGCTTTAAAAGAAAAGGGCACCATTGTTATAGTGGGATTGTGATTATGATTGTTAATGGAAACATTGTCAGCCATGTTGGCTTTGGGGGTGAAGAAGAGGGTGTTTTCCAAGATTGGAATTGATGTTAGTATTTTGTGAGTGTAAAATCTTCTAATATCTGGCCTGTTTTCAGGATAGCTGAGGCAACAGAGGCGGCTTACTGAGCCAAAGTTCTTATTATCCTTATTTCCCTGCCTTTATTAATTCTATTATTTTAATGGATTTTTAAAATTGACACTTAGAGTTAAGGAATACAGTCTGCCAAATCATAGCAAGTCATCCTGTCAAAAACAGATATTTCAAGAGAGAATTCCTTGGTCTAAAGAGAGAAATTCAAAAGAAATTGTAGACAGTTCTATTAATGAATTTACAAATGGATAAAGATAAAACAGGCTACAACAAACTAACAGATAAAGCATATAAAACATGAACACTTTTGTAACATTATAGACTGTATTACATATTGATATAAACTCTAGAATGCACAGATTTATCAAAGCAGAATGGGATTGAGAACATTTCTACAAAAGAGAGGAAAAGAGTATGTCTTTTCAGGGTCGAAGGAAAAGGTTTTGGGGAAAGAAGATACAGATAGGGGGATCCTGTGATAATCAGAATATCCTCACAAAGCAGAAGGACTGAATGGAGTTTGTCTATCAACAGAGGCTTGCTGACTTGGGTAGCATTTCTTCTTTTTTTCCCACTTCTTTGTGGTCTTTTCTTCAAGAGGATATGGATTTACCACTCAGGAAGACCTGGTACAGGATTACTTTACCATGCATCTGGGCTAGTGGGGTTTGATTGTTGAAGGCCTTAGTGGCCTCTTTTTGAGGATCCCTTTTTGTCATCTTCCCTTATGGGGTCTGTGCTTGAGATCAGTATGGTAGCCTGACCCCTGACTCCCCCAACCCCACCATGCAGTGTGACCCTTTTCCAGGTATTTAAGCTTCTTCCCTGGGACACCTTGTACAATACTGCACTACATTTCCTCCTGACTTGAGCTTGCAGCCTTCATTCTCGTGCAGGTAGGCAGACAGCTTTAAAAATTTTCTCTTAGAGGAATTATTTTGAGAACTTTTAGGACTCTGGTGATTTCCTGAGTTGAGAATGACTTTGCCCTGGAAATAATGAATTGAATCATTGTCTGTCTTTTGACCCTTAGATCACCTTTTTTATTTTGCAATCTCTGCGCAGTCACTAGGTATCAGCCTGGCTGCACCCACTGAGAATGCCTTTGTATATTTTGTAATTCAAAGGCCAACTTCAGTCCCATTTCAACTGTTGGAACTTCACCTGCCCCCTACAGGGAGGTGAGGTTTGTGACACTGGAAAACTGGAATAACAAGTGAATTAATACACCCCTCCCTCCAACACTACCCACCCACCGCAGGCTTCGTGGACTGATTGATGACATTTCCTAATATAGCAGGGGTAAGATGACTTATTTTGAAAATAGAATTAAAACTTTCCCTTTTTAGGAGCAAGCGTCACTTTGGCAACACCACCAACCCCAAGAACATTAGTTCTTGTGGTCAAAACATTAACAGGGTGCTTTGTTAACAAAATGTTCAGGTCATGATAAGGCCAACAAAAGAACTGTAAGACTTTTTATGAGCTGAGCCTTTCCAAATAGCACTCCAAGTTAAAAGTACTGCAAGTAAAAGTTTCTTCTGCAAATACAGCCCAGATGATCTGGTGTGAGAGTTTTCAGGAGTGGGCAGAGGTGTTGGGGTATTGCCTTGACCAAAATAAGCCACCTCATGAAAAGCCGGAAACAATTGGTAGGTCCCCAAAGTGTGCAGCTCTCTGAACAATCAGAGTAAAGGATTTCAGATAGCCTCACTAATTAGCCTTCTTGGGCAGTTTAGAAGGGTAGAGGGCCTTTTAAAGAGGTCCCAGGGAGTGCTAAGTACTAGGGTAGTTTATTGCTGTTCTCATAAATAATGATACTGGACAGGGAATTGAAATGAGATCCTGTGAACTGCAGAGCACCTGCTCTGGGAACTCATATTTAGGGAACCTTCCCTGACTCTAAACTCTGATTACTTTCCTAGGCGATCAGCTCACCATTTTAAATAAGAATTCTAGATTAATTGTTAGCACTTAGAGAGCACTTCATCTTTTGAGTGCACGAAGGACAATAAGGGAGGCAGGAAGGTGGGAGGCAGGGAAGCTGATGCTAACAACCTGAGAGAGAGTCACCTCAACCCTTAGTGCGAGTCTCAGCTCTAGCTGTATGTTGTTAGACTAATCATGACGTCTCTATGGGATTCTGTTTTGCCATTTGTAAAATGAGAGAATTGGATGAGGTGTCATTTTGTTCTTGAAAATCAATAATAATAAAAAATTACATTTATTAGTGCCCTAATATATCTTTTTGGCTTTATAATAATCCTTGAGGTAGGCATACCACAAAACATGATCTCTGCTTTAAAGAGTTTAAAGCGGAGTAATATGAGACTCAGAACTGTCAGCAATTAGCTTATGAAGCACAGGTAATCCGCAGTGCAAACTATGCTAAGAATCCAGGCTTTTCAGTTTTTAGTTTTTTCTATACCTCTAAAAATTGTAATTTAAATATAGAGGTGTTCTTTGAACTAAGTATTTGAAGGCAAGGGGAGCATACTATATATATTCTCTAATTCTCCACTGTTTAATAAATATTGCTCACTGACCAGCTAAATAGAAGTTTAGGACATTAGGTGACAATGTTCTTACTTTGAATTTCAGAGTATAATCATGACAGCATTTATAGTTTTTAAATTCCTATATATTCCAGAAACATTACATATAATACTTCAGTTATTGTTATTATTTATTTTCAGGGTGAGGAATCTGAAGCTCAGAATGGCAAATCATACAGCCAATATGGTAAAGCTGGGATGCAGACTGAGGCCACCTATTTCCCTTGATGGCAATCACTTGTTTGACCCTTTCTCTCACCCTGCATCTTTCTCTTGGTTCCTTCAGACCCTCTTGGTTTCCCTCAACTGAAGGAAAGTAGCTGAGAAATACTGTGGACTCAGCCAGAGTTGTAGGAGAACTCTCTGGGTTCCAAGAGGAGGGTGAACCTGAACCTGGCTCTCTGGTGGTATCAATATGGAGGAAAAGTATTTAAGAAGAGAGGCTGCATAGTAACTAGGGTTAAATGCAACCAGAGATAGCCTGACAAAGAATTTACTTGCCCAAAAAGATGAAACATGAAACAAGGACAGCAGCTTGTATGGGATCAAGCAGAAAGGAGTGACAGACCTGGTTTTGTGTTTGCACATAGTTAAACAACATTAAGTATATGTAATATCAACATTGTAGGTCTTTGAGATCACATCGTTCTTCATGGTCTACTTAAGTTTGAGGAACACTGTTCTAATTCAAAGAGTAATTGTAGATGTTGAAGGTCAAGAGAAAGGATAAAGCATGGTAGGTGAGTATGGGAAGTATTTGCAGACAATCCCCCAGAAATAAGTCGTATTTTTTCCTTTATTCAAATATTTATTTGGTAATGAAGATTTATTTATAAGTGAAGGGTAGAGTCAGTGGGACTAGTTTTGGAAAGCTGTTTTGGTAAGCAAAGTTTATCTTTACTCCTACAGTCTTCTCCAGGAAGCCATCACAAATCTCCTTTTGGCGCTCTTCATGCTCTTTTTTTCAGTGGACTCCTAAACTTCGGGAATGGTGAGCAATGACCTGGTAAGGAGCAAGGCTTTCTTTGCATGTCCTGACCCCAGGCTATTCTCAGTATCTACCTAATATACATATTGCATATCTCTTGAGCCTGTGTATTCTAAGGAGAAGTCACTTGTTTTATCTTACTAATATGATTTTCTAATTTTAAAATATTCTTCCATTCATCAATACTTAATTTTTCTATCTGATGTTCTTCTATTCTCATGCCTACTGGGTAAAAGCAAGGGTAAAAGCTTGCTGATAAAATAAATCAGACCATAATTTAAGATAATGGCTTTAGGATTTAGTTAACCCTTCATGTTAGTCTGTTCCTATGCTGCTATGAAGAAATACCTGAGACTGGGTAATTTATAAGGAAAAGAGGTCTAATTGACTCATAGTTCTGCATGGCTGGGGAGGCCACAGGAAACTTACAATCATGGTGGAAGGCACCTCTTCACAGGGCTGCAGGAGAGAGAATGAGTGTGAGCAGGGTAAATGCCAGATGCTTATAAAATCATCAGATCTCATGAGAACTCACTTACTATCATGGGAACAGAATGGGAAACTGCCCCCATCATCTAATCACTTCCTGCTGGGTCCCTCCCATGACATGTGGGGATTATGGCAACTCTAATACATGATGAGATTTGGGTGAGGACACAGCCAAACCATATCACCCTCCATAATGACATGTGCATTTTAAAATATCCTTCTGAAGAAAATGCTCTAATTTCAAAGCTTTACTTTAATTGTGAGATTTGGAGCTCTATAATTTTCTTGTAGGAGCACAAAGGTCTTTCATAGCTTACCAAATAATGTAATAAATGTAATATAGGCACCTTACTGGTTTACAGTACAGAGGGCAGAGCATCCCTACTTATTTTGGTTAGACTGATAAAGTCAGATGTATCTTGGGCACAAAGTAACCATAACTTTGTTTGATTCTATCTACATTTAAGATAATGCTATATTCTTTTTTTTGAAAACACCTTGCTTTGGGATCTACAAAAATACCTAAATGTAACTTCAAAAACAACCAAATTGTTTAGTTGAATTCTTAGAATTGTAGAATGACACAAGAAGTGGGATGTTGAACTGAAAAGCTACGTCAAATTCTGATTTTGGAAAAGAAAGCAATGTAATATTTTGGTTGCATCTTCCAGGTGACTACAAAATGTTGACTTAAACATTAACAAATTACAATTAAATATTACCTTGGAAAATTGCTCTTTTTTTTTTTTTAAATCTGGAGGGGTCATGATGCTCATGAATGTGCTCTAGGAGTACAGTTGCAGCTAACCCTACTACACTCAACATATCAAGTAATATGTAAGAATCCTGAAAAACAGTGCAAAAAGATAGTACACTAGAAGGACAATTTAGTTAGGGATTTTTTTTTTTTTTTGGAAAGGAAAAGAAAGAGAAAAAAGGAGTGAAGGAGAGGAAGAAAGAGGAAGAAAAAGAGGGAGAGAGAACAGAAATATTGCTTTATTCTAAAAATGGGTATTAATAATGGCAGATCAATATTTTGTGTATTTAAAGTGGAAAATGTATATTTTGTGTATTTAAAATGGAGAGCTCTATAAATATTTATTAAGTTTACTTGTTCCGGATCTGAGTTCAAGTCCTGGTTGTCCTCATCAATTTTCTGTCTAGTTAAGTCTAAATCTCTTTATGGGTCTTATGTATCTGGGTGTTAGGGTCGTTAGCTCTTATTGTTGCATTGATCCTTTTACCACTATATCTTTGTTGCTTTGAAATCTATTTTATCAGATGTGAGAATTGCAACTCCTGCTTTTTATTTATTTATTTTTGCTCTCTATTTGGTTGGTAAGTCTTTCTCCATCCCTTTGTTTTGAGTCTTTGTGTATCCTTGCATGTGAAATGGGTCTGGATGCAGCTAACTGTTAGGTTTTGGCTGTATCTTTTGATTGGGGGATTTAGTCGACTTAAATTTAGGGTTACTGCCATTTGATGTTAACTGGCTATTTTATCCATTTGTTGATATAAATTCTTCTTTATGTTGATGCTCTTTACTTTTTGGTATATTTTTAGAAAGGCTAATACTGGTTGTTCCTTTCTATGTGTAATGCTTCTTTCAGAAGCTGTTGCAAAGCAGGCCTGGTGGTAATAAAATCTCTGAGTACTTGCTTGTTCATAAAAGATTTTATTTTTCCTTCGATTGTGAAGCTTAGTTTGGCAGGATATGAAATTCTGGGCTGAAAGTTCTGTTCTTTAAGGATGTTGAATATCGGCCCCCACTCTCTTCTGGCTTGTAGGGTTTCTGCTGAGAGATCTGCTGTAAGTCTGATAGGCTTCCCTTTGTGGGTAACCTGACCTTTCTCTCTGGCTGCCCTTAGTATTTTCTCCTTCGTTTCAACCCTGGTGAATCTAACGATTATGTGCCTTGGGGTTGCTCTTCTTGAGAAATATCTTTGTGGTGTTCTCTGTATTACCTGGGGTTGAATATTGTCCTGCTTTGCTAGGTTGGGAAAGTTTTCCTGAATAATATGCTGAAAAATATTTTCCAACTTGTATTCATTCTCTCCGTCACATTCAGGTACACCTATACAACGTAAATTAGGTCTTTTCACATAGTCCCATATTTCTTGGTGACTTTGCTCATTCCTTTTTATCCTTTTTTCTCTATTCTTGTCTTCTCATTTTATTTCGTTAAGTTGGTCTTTGACCTTTGATATCCTTTATTCTGCTTGATCAATTCGAGTATTTAAACCTGTGCATACTTCTAGGAGTTCCCATATTGTATTCTTCAGTTCCATTAATTCACTTATATTCCTCTCTAAATTGTCTATTCTCATTAGGATTTCGTCAAACCTTTTTTCAAAGTTCTTAGTTTCTTTACGTTGGGCTACAACATGGTCTTTTAACTCACAGAAGTTTCTTATTATCCATCTTCTGACGCCTGATTCCGACAATGGAATGCATTCGTTCTCCATCAAGCCTTGTTCCCTTGTTGATGAGGAACTCTGATCCTCTTTAGAGGGAGAGGCATTCTAATTTTGAGTATTCTCAGCCTTTATACGCTGGTTTCTTCCCATCATTGTAAATTTATCCACCTGTTGTTTTTCTAATTACCAACTTTCAAATTAGGTCTCTGAGGGGACATCCAAGTTGTTAATTCCCAGGGCCAAAATATGAGCAACCCACTGTGCCGGCCAAAACAGTGGTGGTAAGACTGATGGTGCTTTTCTGCCTGGGAATCTCCAGTCTGGCTTCCTTCTTGAGTCCGTAATAAGTGACTCTGCCTTCCTGGAGCTCCAAAGGTTGGACAGAAGGGGAACAAGTCCCGTTTACTCTGCACCAAGAGCTGCCGTGCCGAGGTGCCAGCAAAACCGCTGCGCCGGCCACAAGTCGCATTGGCAACCTGTGGGGCTCCTTCACTGGGAATCTTCTGGTCCGTGAGTGACAAAAATTTGTCTGAAAGTGTGGCATCCTCTTGTGCTCTACGCTTTCACTGGGAGCTGCAATCCTGAGATGTTAGCAATCAGCCATCTTGGATCGTTTGCTCTTTTAATTATATTGACTTAGACATCTCACTCAAGTTGATTGTGAAATTACATTTTTATTCTCTAGGAATCTTTTATATATGTTATAGGAGTTTTGTTAAATATCCCCTACAAATATTTGTAATGTTTAATCACTTTATTCCCTTGACTTTTTATTTGCTGACACAGTTTCAAATTCTGCATTTGAACCTTGAATATGTCCCTCATGACCTTTAGCTTTCTGATCACAAGAGCTCATAGATTGCTGGGAAATATTAATGAAAAATAACCTTAAATCTTGAATTTCAAGTATTAAAAAAGAAATATTCATTCAACTTTTATAAAAAGTCAATGCCTATTCATGATAAAAATTTCTTTGCAAACTAGTATTTAAATAGAACTTCCTTAACCCAATAAAGTCATCTATAAAAAAGCCTACAGTTGATATTTTATTTAATAGTGAAATGAAATACTTTTGCCTAAGATTAAAATAGAAAAGGATATCCATTCTCATCACTTGTCTTCCACATTGTACTGAAGTCCTAGCCAGTACAATAAGGAAAAAGAAAGTAATAAAATCATATAAATTTGAAAAGAAGAAATATAACTTTTTATTTGTAGATGATGTGATCATGTATGAAGAAAACTCTATGGAATCCACAAACAAGCTCTTGGAAATAATAAGTGAATTTAGCCAAATTCCAGGATCCAAGATTGATATAAAACAGTCAATTGAATTGTTGTATACTGGCAGCTAACAACTGGAAAAGAAAACTTGAAAAATAATACTATTTGCAATACACTAAAAAGAATCAAATATCTGAAAATAAGTCTAATGAGAAATGTGGAAGACCCTACACTAAAAATTATACAATGTTACTCAGAAAAGATCTAATTGATAGATAGATATCCTATCTGTAAATTGTTAGACTCAATATTGTTAAGAAGACCAAACTGATCTATATGCTCAATCTCAATCATAGTCTCAATGTACTTTTTTGAAGAAATGATAAATTCTAAAACTTCTGAAGAAATTGATAAAGTCTAAAATTTAAATTGAAATTCAAAGAAGCTAGCATAGACAAAGAAATCTTGGAAAAGAATAAAGTATAAAGACTTATGCTACCGTATTTTAAGATTTATTTACAGCTACAATAATCAAGACACTGAGGTGTTGGAGTAAGGATAGATTAAATAGGTCAAGAAAACTGAACAGAGCTCATAAATAGACTCATGTATTTACAGTAAATTGCTTTTCCATCATGTGCCCAGTCAGTGGGAAATTCATTAAAGGAAAGGAGTCTTTTTAACAAATGGCAATGGAACAATTGGCTATTCATTTAGAACAGTTGAACCTCAGCTCCTTACCTCACAACATAAATAAAATTTAGTTTGAGACAGATAATAACAAAAGCTAGAACCATAAAATATCTACAAAACCTCAAGAAAATATCTTTGTGATCTTGAGGTAGGCAATAATTTTTTAAAGGGGATACAAAAGCATGAATTTTAACA